TGGCTTAAAAAGAAATAAAAAGCCTTAATTGACCAATAATAAGTAAATATCGAGTCAGTAATCAGAAAACTTCCCACAAAAAAAAGCTCAGAACCAGATGGCTTCAATGGGGAATTCTAGCAAATGGCTAATGATGAATTAGCACAAATCCTTCACAAACTCTTCCAAAAAATACAAGAGGAAGAAACACTTGTCAAGTCATTCTATGAGACCAAACAAAGACATCACAAGAAAACTATAGACCAGTATTTCTTATGAATATAGATGCAAAGATCCTCAACAAAATACTAAAAAGCCAAATTCAGCAACATATAAATATAATTTTACACCATGACCAAGGGAGGGTTTATCCCAGGAATGCAAAGTTGGTTAAACATACAAATATCAATCAATGTAATATACCATACTAATAAAATAAAGGGCAAACTACATGACCATCTCAATGGACGCAAAAAACATAAGCTAGACCACCCACGCCTCAGCACAAAACCTCAACTCAGCTCTCAGCCAGCCCACCCAATGCCCACATGGCCCGACATCATCTTGTCCCACCACCTCTCTGTCCTCATTTCCCTTTCTCCGTTCATTCCACACTAACCACAGTGCCCTTCTTGCTGTTCCCTAAACCCAGCAGATACGCTCCTGCCTCAGGGTATTTACAGTTGCTGTTCCCTCTGCTTGGAACACTGTTCCCCTAAATATCCCATAACTCACAATATCGTGAATTTTACTTATATATCTTGCCTGTTGTCTATGTCCCCCAACTAGAATGGGAGCTCCCTAAAAACAGAGATAATTTAGTCTGTTTTATCTACTGCTATATCTGTGGCATTTAAACTAGCATGCCACCCTTATAGGCACTCAATAAATACCTGTTGAATAAATGAATGAATGAAAATAGCTGGTCACTCAACCATTCACACAGCAAACAGTTGATCACCCCAACCCCACTCCAAGTGCCTGACACTGCGCTTCGGGCTGGAGTGCTGAGAAAGATAGGAACAAACCTGGGCCCAGCTGGGAGGGGGTGGTCAGAGCATAAGTAACCAGGACCCAAGGAAGACAGTGCTGAGGAGTGGCGAGTATGGGGAGAGAGTGTTGGCTCTAGCAATCAGGGAAGGCTCCATGGAGAGATGGTGCTCTAGCCTCCCTTGAAGGCCCAGAATGATTCGGGCGTATGGAGAAGGGAAGGGAGTAGAGGAAACAGAGGGAGACCCTGGATATGGAGAGCACAGGGCATATCCTGGGAATCAGGAGGGGACCTGCATGGCAGAACCACATCGAATAACGCTACTAAGGATGTCAGGGCCGTTCATGAGGGGCCTTGAATGCCAGGATGAGGAGTTAGACTTAGTTCCAGAGGCACCAAGGAGCTATGCAAGGCTTTCAAGCAGGGAAGTTTCTGTGGTGTCCCTCTGGCAGTGTGGGGAGAACAGATCGTGGTGGGGGAGCAGGAAGACATGGAGACCAAGATGGGGGCTCTTGGGACAGTCCTAGAGAAAGACGGCAAGGCGTGTGCCATGACAGGACAGAGCGGACCAAGAGAAGAGAGGCAGTTTGGAGGTGTTAAAGATTTATGACTGGGCTTCCCTGGTGGCGCAGTGGTTGAGAGTCCGCCTGCCGATGCAGGGGACACGGGTTTGTGCCCCGGTCCAGGAAGATCCCACATGCCGCGGAGCGGCTGGGCCCGTGAGCCATGGCCGCTGAGCCTGCGCATCCGGAGCCTGTGCTCCGCAATGGGAGAGACCACAACAGTGAGAGGCCCGCGTAATGCAAAAAAAAAAAAAGATTTATGACTGGTGTTAGTGGGCAGGGGTGCGGGGGTGCGGGGATGGGGGGAGCTAGAGCCTGAATCTCAGAACCTCAGAAGCACAGACAGAGCCATGGAGGAGGGGGGTCTGGTCAGGGGTTCCAGAAAGAACCGCACCACTTCTGGAAGGCTGGAGCTCTGGTCGCTGGGGATCCTGCCCAGCCCAAACACGAGCCACAAGGAGGAGCAGCTTCCCAGCACTGGACGATGGACACATCCCAGCCCTGCCAGCCTTCCTGCCCTGCAGTCCCTCGCGTCCCAGGGCCAGCCTAGAGAAGAGATTCCCCAGCTGGCTTTGTCAGCCAAGATGCAATGTCATTTCTAGATGAGCCATCCAGCTCTGGAGATGCGCCAGGCTATGGGGCGGGGGACAGCTGTGTCCCCAAAACACAGCCAAGGAGCTGCTTCCCAGAGCCAAGCAAGACAGTGGCAGAAGCGGAACTGGCAGGTGGTCCGCGGGCCCAGCCAATGCAGTGACAGGCCTTAAATGGGGCCTCCATCTGCCCAGGCCTCAGCCTCCCTGCAAGGTCAGGCCCATTCAGTCCCCACCAGCTGGAGATGACGGTCCCAGTCACTCCCTCAGACAATAAGCATTAAGGTATTTATTAGTGCCTGGTGTACGCCAGCCTCTGTTTCTTTTCCATGGGGGTGACAAGGGTCAGTGTGGCATGAAGGACAGAGACTTTGGAGTCTGCGGAGCTGCGTTAGAGGTTTATCTGTCCTACTCTTTGTGTTGCTGTCTCTGGGCCTCAGTTTTCCCATCTGTCAAGTGGGGATGAGAAAAACCCTTTCCGAGGAGGGCACTGTAAGGACTAAATAAGAGCACGTGCAGAAGGGAATGTTAACAGGACTTGTCTATTCCCCAGGAACTTCAGCGGAAACCCAACCAAGGCTGACGACACTGGTGAGAAGCACCCACACCTTAAAAGAGGCACAAGACACACCTCAGGACTCAGAGAGAGAAAGGGAACCATCCCATGTGGCCCCCCAGCTTATACAGAAGAAGGCTAGAGACCCAGGCTGGGGAGGATTTATTTGAAGAGTGAGAAAGCTGAGTGAGGGGCTTCGGCTGGCCCACCCACAGAAAGCGCACTGCCTGTCAGGAAGGACACTGGGCTTTCTCCCTGGCTGGATGCCCAAAAAATGCACTTTCCTACACCAGGGCCACCTGGGGTGCATCTACAAAGAGCATCCTCAGGACACCCCAACACGTGTCACCTGGGAACAGGAGGATGTACAAGGGCAGCAGTAGGGGCAGCTACATCCTGAGCACATCCAGGGGTCAAACAGAAACCATGGAGAGGAGACAGGCTTGAGGGTCACAAGAGGGGAGCCCCATGGGGTGCCTGCCTGGGGCGACAGGGCCCAGGAGGAAGAGCTGGAAGGGCAACCCTGGAAAGGAGCGGAGGGAAGCTGCGACAGTACACAGGTGACGATGTCTCCTGCACCAGGGAATTGGACAATGCAAATGCTGGGGCCCGAGGCCCCCAGAACCCACAAAAGTGCTCCCAAGAGAGGAGTCAGCCAACATCTGGGCATCTACCACAAGGAGGGCACTGACAGTCAGCAAAACAACGCCAGACACCAATAACACCTGGCCCATTTCCGGTCATCTTTGCTGGCCTGCCCAACCCTGGAGCGGTCAGGATCCCGGGGAAGCCGTGGTCTTGGGGACAAAGGACAGAGATGGAGCAAGGAGAATCCAACCGAGTAGAGCTCCCCCTCTCCCCAGTGCAATTTTCTGGACCTGGATAGAAGCTTTATTTGGAAGTAGAACAAAACTTTTGATTTAAATGAGACTGGGCTTCATGAGTGTAACTGGAAAAGCTATGGTGGGGGCTTCCCTGGTGGCGCAGTGGTTAAGAATCCGCCTTCCAATGCAGGGGACACGGGTTCAATCCCTGTTCCAGGAAGATCCCACATGCCACGGAGCAACTAAGCCTGTGCACCACAACTACTGAGCCCGCGCTCTAGGGCCCGCGAGCCACAACTGCTGAGCCCACGTGCCACAACTACTGAAGCTCAGCAACAAGAGAAGCCACCGCAATGAGAAACCCGCCCACTGCAACGAAGAGTAGCCCCTGCTCGCTGCAACTAGAGAAAGCCCGCCCGCAGCAACCAAGACCCAATGCAGCCAGAGATAAATAAATAAAATTAAATGTAAAAAATTTAAAAAGAAAGAAAAGCTATGGGGTCTGGTCATGGGGGAGAGACACACTCAAACTGGTCAGGGAACCATAAAGCTGTTATTGATTTGCTTTCTGAGTCCAGCCTGCTCTGTGAACCCCACCCACACATGCAGGGGCTTCCATGTCCACAGTGGTGGGTCCCCAGGGCCTTAGGACCAGGGAGTGGGAGTGGAGGGGTAGGAAGCTTGAACCAGTCTAGCTGGGGCTAGGCTGGCGCCATCTTCCCGGTATCAGTGGCTCCTTCCCATCAGGTGGGACAACCAGGGCCAGGGCTCTGGAGAGCCAGGGATACAGCAGCACACATATAAGTGTGTATGTAGGGATACGGATACACCAGGACGCCTGATGAGACCTAAACATGCACGGAGCCCCAGTGAATTCTGATGTGAGCATAGAGTAGCCTGGGAAGGTTTTGGAGGAGGTGGCCTTTGAGTTGGGTCTTACAGCAGAACGACTTTAGGATGCACAGAAGAGGGGAATGGTGCCCCCGGCGGAGGGAATGGACACAAGCAAAGGCTGGGAGACGTGAGCACCTGTCACTGGTATAACCGGAGTGTGAGGCACATGAAGGGATGTGATGGGATATGGATCTGGAAGATACGGTATCCTTAATACTGTCACCTTTAAAGCAGTGTCCGCACTGGCTATGGCCAATCTGAACCTCACTTTCGTCATCTGTAACCTGGGGAGAATTACCCTATTTCTTCTTGGACTCAACACATGTCCTGGGAATAAAGGGGTCTCATGTTCTCCCATCAAAGTATTAACGAGGAGCTCAGAGGACACACTTTAGAAAGGCTTAGGCTCAAACCCCAGTTCCGCCCCTAGCTGTGTTACTCTTGGTAAGCCTCAGTTTCCTCATCTGTTAAATGGGGATAACAAAGCTCCCGAGAAGGATAAACATAATGTACGTGAAGACCCGGCACAGCGTAAGCCTATGTGAAACAGGAGCTCCCTACCCACCTCACCCCACTCCCACCTCCAAAGGGGCCTTCACTTACATAGGAGGCCAGGAGGGTAGTCGGGGCCAGGATGAGAGCCAGGTAGAGGCAGGGGGCTGCAGCAAACAAGCTGGCAGCACAGATGAGGGGCTCAGCCCTTGGGTTGACTTTCTTGTATCTCCTCGAAGCCTCTGCTCCCAGGATGACCCCAACAAGGCCAGTCACAACAGTCAGTACCCCAAAAATCAGGCTGATGGAAAAGAGCAGAGAGGGATTGGTCAGCCGGTGGCGTCAGGATAGGGGTCCGGCCGCCTACCCCCCAGTGCGTGATCTGGTACCTACAGAAAGTGTGGCTGTGGGCCCCTTCCCCTCCCTCCTAACCGATGCTCGTGGGTCCCTGGGACCCTGCTCTGGGATCCACGTACTCCCCTACCCTTCCCATCCTCTTTCCTGCCTCAACCTGGGGATGCCACTGGCCATGTGGGTGATCTTCCTAGCACCCCAGCACCCCAGCGCCCAGCCTGCCTCATTGCCAGCAATCTCCTCCACTGTTTCACCACCTAAAACTGCCCCACTCAGAAATCTTAACTCTACAGTCCCACACTGGCCCCAACCTTCTCGCCTTCCAGGCCCCAATACTAATAGAATGCAGGTAAGTGAGCATGTATTTATCGAGCTCCTGTGATACACCGGCATTGGACACACCCTTCCTCTCTCTCTTTTTTTTTGTTCCCCAACCAGGGGTCAAACCCATGCCCCCTGAAGTGGAAGCGCGGAGTCTTAACCACTGGGCTGCCAGTGAAGTCCCACACACCCTCCCCTCCTTGAGTCCATCCTTCGACTCTCTGTTTCTGAACACCTCTCAAGTAGCCCCCTCTTAACTTCACTACCTTTACCACCTACTCCTAGACCCATTTCAACTCCACTTGGTCCCTCTTGCACCTCCCTCCTGTAGAAACCTGTCCTTCTAGGACAACCTCCATACAGGTCCCCCAGAGGATGCTTTCTAGAACACAGATCTGACTACGCCCCTGCCCACTCCCTGCCTAAAATTCTCCACCAGCTCTTAAACACCCACCAGATTCGGTTCCAGCTCATTGTGGTATACATGGTCCTTCATGATCTGACTCTGGGTGACCTCAACCACAAACCCCAATTCCATCCTCCTCAGTCCCCAGACTAGTTGCTGTCCCCACTTCATACTTTTATTCTTCCATCTGGAACACCCTTCACTGGTTTCTCTACCTACCGAACTCCTATGCATCCTTCAAGACCCATCACAAAGGTCCCCTCTTTGAGGATGCTTTCCCTTGTCCCTCTGCTGATTTGTTCACCCCCTTCAGTTCCCATAGCATCTTCCATGTCTCTATCATCAAGGTTATTCACTAGGCTGTGAATTCCTGGAGAACAGAAACCAGGTTCGGTTTACTTTCTTGACTCTAGGCTGGGAGCATAGAGCCTGGAACAAGAGATATTAACCAAATGGCTCACTGATCTCTCCCAGAATTCCCAGGTGGACAGCTGAAACAGGTGAGGTTAAGAAAGGTTGAGGCCAGGGCTTCCCTGGTGGTCCAGTGGCTAAGACTCCATGCTCCCAATGCAGGGGTCCCAGGTTCGATCCCTGGTCAAGGAACTAGATCCCATATGCCACACTAAGAGTTCGCATGCTGCAACTAAAGATCCTGCACACCACAACAAAGATCCCACACGTGGCAACGAACATCCCGCGTGTCTCAACAAAGACCCAGTGCAGCCAAATAAATAAACAAAATATTAAAAAAAAAAAAAAAGAAAGAAAGAAAGGTTGAGTCCAAGATTACCCAGCTACTAAGCAACAGGATGTGAATATACACCTTCATCCTCCTGGTCTAGCCCAAAGGATGGGCCCAAGCCTCCTTTTTTAATATTTATTCATTTTATTTTTGGCTGCGTCGGGTCTTAGCTGCGTCACGTGGGCTCTCTAGTTGTGGCTCAGTAGTTGTGGCATGCGGGCTTAGTTGCCCACGGCATGTGGGATCTTAGTTTCCCAACCAGGGATCGAACCCACGTCCCTTGCATTGGAAGACAGATTCTTAACCACTAGACCACCAGGGAAGTCCCCCAAGCCTCCTTTTAAAGAAGCCCAAAGGGATGCTGAGACTGACTAGCGTGAACTCTTGAAAAAACGAAGGTAACTAGGACCTTTCCAGCCCCTAAGTGGCTCCCTGTTGTCCTCAGGCAGGCTCCCAGCCAGCACTGCAGGACTGGCCCCTGCTGACCTGTGTAACCTCCCCTCTTTTCTCCTTCCCTCACTCTGCACAAATGACTGGAAATTCTCTAAACTCACCCTACACTTTCTGGCTTCCCTGCCTCGGAGCACCACTGCCCCCACCCACCATTCTCCACCTGGCCAGGATCCCCTCCCAGATCCAAACCTTTCCAAAAGTGCCAGGTGCCTGATATTACCTCCATGGCTACCACCAAGAGGTAAGAACATGAGAGACGCAAGACTATGGTTACTGACAAATTGAGTGCCACAAAAAACTACCTCTCCCCTAAATAACTTCTGTGAAATGTCCGTCCCACAGGCTGAGGACTAATGGGTTTATTTCCCTGCCCCATCCCCTTGGTTTATAGGAGATTGTGTAAAGCCCAGAGAGGGCAGAGACCTGTCCGAGGCCAAACAGCCCCACATTGGCAGAGCCAGGGTCTCCTGGCCCTCTGCTTCCAAACAAAGCATGTGTGTCCTTAGGCAGCTTAAAGGTGCTCACCGAACCTTCCTAGCCTTGCAAGCTGTACCAGGCTCCGGCTCAGCCCAGTCAAGTGACCCCAAATCCCAGATGAATGCTATCTACCTCTGAGTCCCGGTCTGAGCCAGCCTTGGCAGGGTCTCGAGACCTTTCTAAGACTTAGGATTGCTTATTCAAACAGGCGCTGTAGATGGGGGACCCCCAGTGCCCCTGAGCAGAGGTGTGGCCAGAGGACACACCTACCACGAAATGTCCCCACCCCCACAAAGCCTTCCCAGAATCAGACTCTGAGCCAAGAGGGTCCTTAAAGCCTGCAAGTTCTATGCTGATCCTCTGTACAATGGCCCTGGCAAGCAGCTATCCAACTCCTACTTACATGCCCCCAGGAATGGGAAGCTCATTACTCTAATGCTGCCCCTTCCGTCTGGGCCCCGCTCTGTATGTTGGAAGTTCTCCCTCTGGCTGAGCTAGAATCCTGTGTCCTGCAACTTCCTGCTCCCGCCCCACCCTCACCTGCGGGCTTATCCTAACTATGGAGGGTGTATTAACAGCTAGGGTCTGTGCAGAACCCGAACACCAGGACCCTGTGTTAGGTTGAATAATGCCCCGCAACCCAAGACATCTACCTCTGGAACCTGTGACAATATATTCCCTTATATGGCAAAATAGACTTTGTAGATGTGATTACATTAATGTTCTTGAGGTAGGGAGATTATCCTCCAATTTTTTGGTGGGCCCTAAATGCAATTACAAATGTCCTTATAAGAGGGAAGCAGAGGGAGATCTGAGACACAGAGGACAAGGCAACGTGACCGTGGATGTTGAGCTTGGAGTGATGCGGCCACAACCAAGGACCGCCAGCAGCCACCAGAAGCTGGAAGAGGCAAGGAAGGATTCTCCCCGAGAGCCGCCAGCGAGAGTGTGGCCCTGCTGAACTTGGTTTTGGCCCAGTGAAGCCATTATGGACTTCTGGCCTCCAGAACTATGGGAAAAGTTTCTGTTGTTTGAAGCTACCCAAGTGTGTGGTCATTCGTTCCATCAGCCCCAGGACCCTAACACAGTTTCTCAGCCAGGTTCTGGGAATAAGCTAAGTTAGAGGAAGAGGCTGAAGCAGACAATGGGGAAATCACTGGCCCAGGAACAGACAGCCAGTCAATGCCTGAAGTGGGATGGAGACCTGGTTTTTCCCCACTTTTTCAAGCTGCAGTGGGACTTTTAGGACTCAGTCTTTGCCTCTGGGGAGATCCAAGAATCTAGCTGTAGAGCCAGGATAAACATCACAATATCCTGGGACTTCCCTGGCGGTCCAGTGGTTAGGAGTTCACGCTTCCACTGCAGGAGGCATGGGTTCAATCCCTGGTCAGAGAACTAAGATCCTGCATGCTGCTTGGTGTGGCAAAAAAAAAAAAAAAAATCACAGTATCGTTTGATGCATTCATTCATTCATTCACTTACTGGATGCGGCCTGAGCACCCACTGTATGCCAGGTGGTGGGGAGATGTTCAAGTCAATTAACAGTACCAAGCAGTCTCCAGAGGCAACAGTACATGGAGCTTCAGAGCAGAAGCTTTGGAGTCAGATGGGTTTGAATCCTGGCTCTGCTACTCGAGTTGTGTGACCTCGGACAATTTGTTTAACCTCTCCGATCTTCCGCCTCCTCATTTGTAATACACGAATACTAGGGTTTATTATTATAAAACCTCAGAGGGTTTTTCATGTAAAGGGCTTAGAATAGGGCCTGAACTAAAGTTAAGGCTTATAAGAAGTAATGATGAGAAAAGGGAAGGTAGCTATGGGCAAAGGGCACAGCTTGGGCAAAGGCAGAGACAAGTGACGGAGCAGGGGACATTCCGGAAATGACACGAAGCTCTCCCTGGGCATCAGGGAGGGAGGCAGAGGCAAGAGAGGAGGCTGGGGAGAAGGGATGTCAATGCTGCCAGCAGAGCACTAGTGTCACTGAGGCCTCAGGGGAGAACACGGAGCCCTGAGGAACTCTGAGAAACCCATTGGGGCAGGATCAGGGAGGAGAAGGGGTCCTCAAGGAGACTGGAAAGCATCAGCAGGGAGAAGGAGGAAGCAAATAGGAGAGGATTAGACATGCCCGCTCCATCAGGAGGTCATGGAGCCCCTGGAGAACAGGGTCAGCTGGGGGGACAGGAGAACAGCAGGGTGAGAAGAGCAGCTTTCCCAGGACTGCCAGCGCCTCAAATGAGGCAGAGAACATACAAATGCATGTGTGAAATCCCTAAGCCAGAGAAGTAATGAAGCATCCCAGTGCCTCAGTTTGCCATCTGTAGAATGGGACGACCTCACACTACGGGTCCCTCCGAAGGACAGGCCCCACGGAAGCCTCACCCACCCGCAAGTGCTTTCTGGACCCCCATAGCAGCCCAAGAGCAGGAAGACAGGGACTGGGGCCCAGAGAGAACGAAGGAGCCGCCTGTGGCCGCTCAGAGCAGCAGGGGCTCTGCCCAAGCTAAAACCAGGGGCTCTGCCCAAGCTAGTCCTGGTGTCTGCCCAGAGCTCCATGAGCCCACAGAGGCTGAACCTGGGGGCTCAGAACCTCCTGAGAACTTCCCCATCAAGAGCCCCCCTGAGCCGGGCACCCAGGCGCCCCTCCTCACCTGTCCTGGCTGTTGCACGGCTCCCGAAAGCAGGGAAGCTGCAGCCCGTGCACCACACGGGCCTCGAACAGAAACTTGGGGGCCCAGAAGCCCAGAGCTCCAGTCACAAAGGCCATGGCTGTAACTCCAAGGGTCGACCCCACAAAACTCCAGCTGTAAGAGAAGATGATGTGGCTCGACCCGGGAGAGGGCTGGGGCTGCAGGAGCCTCCTACCGCTCCACTCCCCCGTCTCCTGGGCACCCAGGTGGCTCCAGGTCCTTCCGACACTCCCTAAGCAGCCTGCCCCTCCCACCTCCGCACCTTCCCTCCAGCTGTTCCTTCCTCCCTCCTCTCTGCCTGACCAAGTCTCCCCAGACTGACGGACCCAAATCCAACATCACATACTCCAGCAAGCTGTCTGTGCTGCCCCACCCTCCCCTCGGCTCGTGGGTCTGTAACAAAGAGAGTGGGGTCCTGCCCGTGCCCCATATTTTGGTAAATCATGAGACCCGGCCATGTGGGTGACAGGTCTGCCTCCCCGACCATGCCTGGAACAGAGGAGGGATGCTCTCCTGTGAGGCTCAGAGAGGTGAGTGATTCACTCGGGCATCTTCCCAGTAACCCTGAGAAGCTGGCAAAGCTGGAGAACCATGTCCACTGAATAAATGAGGGAAGTGAGGCTCCAAGTCTCAGGTCACTCTGGGATAAGGCAGGGCAGAGCCAAGGCTGGAGCTCACAGTGTCTTCCTCCCTCTCTCCCAGCCCGTATTCCGTCACATGGCTAGGGGGAGGGGGCCTCCGAGTGGGGGAGGGGCATCTCCGTTGGTGAGTGGGAGCTCAGAGAAGGAAGAGGGCAGTCGGGGAGGGTTCTCTGGAGGTGGAGGGAAGGAAGTCAGTGATGCCGGGGCAGACAGAGGGGTTTTCAGTGACATGCAGGGAGGGGCAGGGACACTCACTTTCTCCCCAGGTATCTGAGGTCCTCACACCAGGTGCTCCTTGGGCCCCCAACGGTCACCACCCCCTGCTTCTCAGCAGCTCCCCGGGGTGGGTCTGGAACCAGGACGATAAGCAGGATCAAGGCCACGGCTTCCAGGCAGGGCATGATCTGGGGACAGGAGGGCTCAGGAAGCTCAGGGCCACACACTCCTGCGACCCAGGAGATCCTGGCAGTGACTGAACTCTGTGGTCCAGGCTGGGGAGGGACCCACTTCCTGGGAGCTGGTTATACACAGAGCTTGACAAACCACTGTTTCTCACCCCCTCATCCCTGAGAGGACAGCCTCTCTGGGGAGCAGGGTCCCCTTGGGGTTTGACTTAACACCTGTCTGTTCTATACAGACACCACTCTATTGGGACCTGTGAGCCTGACATGGTTGAGACCTGGAGGCTTGACTACACTGACCCTGACTGTTGAGTACTTGCTGCCCCAATAACTGTCCCTTTTCCAGGCCCACACCTCCATCTGCCACACCAGCCCTGCCCTAGTGTCTTCCTATCCCTTGTCTCATTAATCCTCAAGATTCCATAAGGTAGACTTTACTCCCCCACTCTACAGACAGGCAAAGTGAGGCCCCGAAGAGGGAGGTGACTTGCAAGCTAGCAAACTGAGCAGCTGGGATCTGAACCAGGGGCACGACTTCCAGAGGCCGTGGTCCACAGGACGCCCCAAATGTCTGAGCTGCTGTTGTCTGAACACCCCCCATGGCGCCAGATACCGTGCCAAGGGGCAAAGGCCACTGGAGGCTGGAAAGTCCCTGCCGGCCCAGGGGGAAAGCGGAGGGAAGAAAAGGAAGCTGGACTCACTCGGAGGGCCCAACGCCAGTTGCCGGTCAGCTCCGTCACAGCCGACCCCAGCACGTAGCCCAGACCACTGCGACAGGGGGCAGGGGAAATGGGCAGTGAGGGAAGGGAGGCAGCCCTGAGGCCCCAAGGCCAGCCTGAGCCGGGGTGCCCCGACCCCAGGGAGCCGGCTCTCTGCAGCTCATTGCCTTTCTCACTGGGAAAAGTGAGCCACGTGAGGCCCAGATGTCCACTGCCCTTGGTCAAGTCACAGGTGACCTCTGGCTCCAGGCCCATCCCAAACATCCACTGTCTCTCTATCTGGGGACCACCCACCCCACCTCCCCAAGTCTCAGCCCTGCCCAAATCAGGAGGTTTCAGGAAACCTGAGTCAGAGCTCAGGGGCCTGACTGCAAAACCCACTCTGTCCTACCCCACTATGGAGTGCATGGCCCAACCCTAAGACATTTGTCTGCCTCCCCTCCCAGGGCTGGCCCCTCCCTGTGCAGCCCACACTACTGCGCCGCTATTTCTCACCCCTTCCTGGAGTGTACTAGCATGTAGGGAGCATCCTCATTATGTATCTCTAACTCCCACCATAGCCTGTCAGTTCGTGTTATTGGCCCCATTTACAGATGAGGAAACAGGTTCAGAGAGGTAAAGTGACACAGTGAGGAAGGGGTAGAGTTGGGATTCCAAGCCTTTCTGCTCTGATGTCTCCTCCACCCAGCCCGGCTCCTGTTCTGACTCCTTTAGGCCTCAGTTTACCACCCAGGGAAGTGGATCCAGGGTAATACCAACCTTCCAACAGGGATAAAGATGTAGAAGATGGCCAGCACTCGGGTTCGCTGGTCCCTCACGAAGAGGTCTCCCAGGACAGTGGGCGCAGTGGTGGAGTAGCTGGCAGTGCCAGTGCCCACCACCCCCCGGGACAGGAAGAAGAGCCAGGAGTACTGGGCAAACAGGCACAAGACTGCAGTGAGTTCCAGAAATCACCCTCGGGGCAAGGGGACCTGAGGATTTGTCAGAGGAACCCGAGGGCATCTGGTGACACGTGCCCCAGGGGAGGAGAGGGAGATCAGGGCTCCAGACACCTCATTATCCTCCCAGTCCAGGCTCCCCAAACCACACGGGTGCCCCCTGCTGGTGTCCACAGCCACCCCCAACCCCCTGCCCTGAGTAGCCCTCTTCCTGGGCATCATCTGTGCTAACCAGGCCAGTTCCCGCAGACAGTAGCAGTTACCCTCACCCCCAGCCCCAGCACAGTCGAGCGGAAGTGAAGCCATGGGCAGCAGCGGGAGATGCCAGAGAGGAAGGCCCCTGTTAAGAAAGTCCAACAGCCTGTTCAGAAGGCCCCTCTCTCAGCCCTTAGAAGACAATCCCCCAGCCAGCCTGGAGCCTGCAATGGAGCAGAAGCAGCTCTGCTGGGGCTGGATCAGGGAGGAAGAAGGTGGGGGAGGGTCCCCCGGGGGCCTGGGAAGGGGTGAAGGTACCTACCCGAGGGGGGATGAAGGAGCTGCAGAGGCCTGCTCCTGACCAGAGCAGGATACCTAAGCTCAGCGTCACCTTGCGGCTGTGTCGGTCGCCCAGGTAGCCGAACACGGGTGCAGACAGCAGCAGGCAGCCGATGAAGACTGAAGGAGACACGCAGGGGGCAGCATGCATCCCCGGCTCGACAAAGGCGGAGGGGGGGTGGGGGCGGGGGGCAGATGGGTCCAGCAGGCCCAGAAAAGGGAACCAGCTCAGACACCACAAGCTTGGCAGTGGGTGGAGGCTGGGAGGAGGAAAAGATAAGGTGAATCCCCCAATCCAATCCCCACCACTGCCCAGAGTCAGGGGGACTGGAAGGAAAGGGTGGGGGCAGGGCCCCGACTCAAATCTCAGTTCTGCTGCTTGCTCACTGTGCAGCCTTGGGTTACTAACTCCACCTCTCTGAGCACCAGCCCAGCAGTGGAGAAGTCAACATCCCCCTCCCAGGCCGTGTAAACGTGAGACAGAAGTGAACACAGAGCCCGGCGTGGAGCTGCCAGGGCCCTGTCTCTCGGAGAACTCACAGGGACTTCGCTCTCAAGCCCCTGCTGGAGGCAGGGCGTGGAAGGCAAGAGGGGGCGGGGTGCGGGCCAGGTGCCTGCTCCGAGCTGATGAGCACGGTTTAGAATGAGCACAGTGATTATAAACCAGCGGCCCCTGGAGGCTGGAAAAGATTTGGTCTTCCTAAGTAGGTAAAACATTCCCCTGACGCTGCAGTTGTATTTATACAGTTTTTTAAAGTACTAAACGCTTATGAATTGGTGACTGGATTAGTGAATGCGTTTGCTATTCTGCGAAGACAAAGAAACTGCCACGTTTTTGCGTGACTATACCACGTGGATAACTACCTTCACTGCTTCTGTTCCTCAAATAAAATCTTCTCCACCCTCCTCCGCTGCCTCCGAGAGCCGCCAGGTGACCTGGGCAAAGTCCGACCCTCCTCCACCCCGTCCCACCACCCAAGGGCCTTAGGCTTTGGGGGGCCCCGCCCAGCGTCTGCGTCTTCATTCAGGAGCACAGATGATTGACATTTCCTGAGCCCAATGAATGTCCAGATTCGTCCCAGCTCAGGTTCCAGCCCCTCCCACTTTGCCCCGACCCGCTCTATTACTGGGTTGAGCCGTAGGCAATTGCGGAAATTAAGCCAGTTTTGACCTACAAAAACGGCAGTTTAATATGGTTTGACCTAATCCTCCGCTGAGAAAGGTCTTCGGTGTGAACGGCATTTAAATATATAATAACTACTGCCAAAATAGGCCTCCAAAAAGGCTGTATCAATTTACACTTGAATAGAAGTATGTATGTTGCTTGCTGACACTTGCTAGGATCAATCGATCTATTTTTGTTCATTTAATGGTTGAAACACAAATGGCGTCTCGCTGACGTTTTAACCTGCATTGTTCTTTTTCCAAGTGAGGCTGAGTAGCAGGCTCTGTGTTCACATCCTCTGCCTATTTTTCTATCGGGCTCTTTGTGGATAAATTTCTCCCAGTCCTTTATATTTGTATTAAGGATTTAAAATGCAAATTCTGCGACTGAATACCTGGGCTCACATCCTGACCCCACCACTTCCTAGTTGTGTGACTTTGGACAAAATCCTTAACTCTCCTGTTTTCCCTTTATCAACTACAGAGTACGATAGTAATAGTACTTCCCCCATAAGGTTATGGGGAAGATTAAATAAAATAAAGCATATAAAAGGCAGTGACGGGCTTTATGTAAATGCCCAACAAATGTCACCTATTATTATTGCTAATTGCACTTATAGTTTCAATCACCATCATACAGAAGGATTTAGCTTTGATGTAGTCAAATTTATCAATCTTCTTGGGGGGGGAGTCATTTTGTGTCTTGTTAATGCACATCTTCTTTACCTAAAGCTTATAAAATATTTCCCCAAATCTCATACTTTTATGAGATTTGGGGTAGGGAATCCTTTACAGGATATAAACACCTTAAACCTGCAGATCTCCTGGGTTGGAGACGCCTGCCCCTAAGTGGAAGGCAGGCACGCCTTCGCTCTCCAGATTAAAATCATTTCTGTGACAAGGTGGGAGTAATTAAGGAGCACAGGGTTCAGAGAAGGACTCTATAAGCAGCTACCTGGATTTGAATCCCAGCTCTGTCACTTACCAGCTGTGTGACCTTCAGCAAGCCCCATAGCCTCTCTGTGCCTCAGGTTCATCATCCGTACAATGGGCATAATAATAATCCCTGCCTCGTGGGATTGTTGTGAGATTAAATGAGTTAATGTTATTAAGCCCTTAGACTAGCACCTGGCACACGGTGAGGTCCACATCAGTGTTCGTTTTAAATATTGTAAATCAGTTAACTAACTCCAGCAGCTTCTCTGTCCCATAGCGGTGGGGCGAGGGGTGTCTGACCACTGCTTCCCCCCACCTTCCACCCCACTCTTAGAGCTACACCGTGCCCTCTGAGTCATCGGTTTCCTCCAGTCTACCACCCTGCAGACAGCAGGGTGGGTCTTAGGGCTATTGCACGGTGACCCAGAAAGGTGAAAAGACTCACCTGAGGTCACTGGGGACAAGCCTGGTCGGTCGTCAGGCCTCCAAGCCCACTGCCCTTTCCACACACCTCTTTGGGCTGCTTCTGCAGAGAAACCCCTTCCCTTCATCCAACCTCAAACACACACACTCACACGCACACGCACATTCCCCACTACACACTCACAAGCACGTCCCCACGTTCACAGGCTTCCCCCCGCTCTCTCTCATACACACAAACTTCTCCCTCCCCACAACTCACTTATCAGGGGCCTTGTGGTCATAATCCTGTTCACCATGGTAAGAACCAGGGAAGGGAAATACTGACTCAGATTCCATTATCTGTTTAATCTAGAAGGTTGTGGGTATTGAACCGAGACAGTCTCCCTTTGGCTACAATATGACTGGAAGGTAAGCACCAGCTGCCGGCCTCAGCCCCAAGACAGGAGCAATTGGAAAATACGGTGGTCTAACCAGTGATCTACCTCTTTTGCTCGGTGCCTCGGTTTACAGAACTGTGTACCCTTTTGCATGTTTTCAGCTGAGGCATTTTTATCGTAAGTTTAAATAGTTGAGAAGGATGTGATTTCCAGCATGATTGTATGTTTTAAACTATATTTTCATCCAAATCCTTAGGCTGCAGATTAAGCTCATTCAGTTTACAGGAAATGTCTACCATAAAGGCTTATGGGCAAAGCCAGTCCTCATTTGCCCAATCAGTAGGACAGATCAGACTGGTTGTCTGTAAGAAAGAGATTAAGAGCTTCCCTGGTGGCGCAGTGGTTGAGAGTCTGCCTGCCGATGCAGGGGACACGGGCCATGGCTGCTGAGCCTGCGCGTCCGGAGCCTGTGCTCCGCAACGGGAGAGGCCACAACAGTAAGAGCCCCGCGTACCGCAAAAAAAAAAAAAAAAGAAAAGATATTAAAATGTTGGCTTCATTTTTTTAGTTGAAATACATGTGTTGATACCCATCCCTAAGACAACCATCTCACTTCTGAATTCTCAATCGCAGATAAATAGTAGACTGTCACACACGAGCGGGACAGCTAGATAAGGCTTGGTGCCTTGCCATCCCCGGGTTTGTAGCCTGGAGGAAACATCCCCAATTGGTTTCTACCGATGCTCTCTCTGACCTGTTCCAGGGCCTCATCAACAGAAGCCAAACAGCCATGAGGGGTCCCTTTGTCTAGTACCCTGGAGGTTTCTATACCTAGTAAAACTCAGAATGGGGATAGGTGTATTTTCCTGCCAAAAATGGTGGACAGGAACTTCCTTGGTGGTCCAGCAGTTAAGACTCCACGCTCCCAATGCAGGGAGCCCGGGTTCGATCCCTGGTCAGGGAACTAGATCCCACATGCCACAACTAAGACCTGGCACAGCCAAATAAATAAATAAATATATGTTTTAAATGGTGGACAGGTGAGTATTAAAGGGGAGGTGGGAAAAAAAGAGCCAGATGCTTGTTCTCAGGAAGATCTATTTTAGGAAAGAAATATACGGGCTCGATCTGTACATGAATTCTCTCAAAACTGTAAAGAACACACACGTGTATCCTGTGTTGTGAGTGTGTGCATACATGTGCGTGTGCATGTGTGTGTCGCCATCCAGACATTGGGGAAAAGTTAATGCCTTGCAACCCCAACCTTGGAATGGGAGGTGTGGCTGCTCCCCACTGCTGGAATGTAGGTCCCAGTGGGCCCAGACCCCACCTGAGCCCATGGGCGGGGTACGTGTCTCTGTCTACCTTTTTTTATTTTTTTTGGCTGCTCCTCGAGGCATGTGGGATCTTAGTTCCCCAACCAGGGATCGAACCCATGCCCCCTGCAGTGGAAGCCCAGAGTCTTAACCACTGGACTGCCAGGGAAGTCCACTGTCTGTCTGTCTGTGTCCTAGCGATCAGGTCCGTGAGAGGAAAGCACACGTCAGAAACTCTCAACCCCGGCTACAAAGCTGAGCTTAACAGATGTGAAGGATGAGTGAGCAACTCCACTCGGGAGGCTTTTCCAGCCCCGGCTCCCGTTGCTTCTTCCACAGCTCCTACCCTCAAACCCTAAGAGGCTGTTCAGGCACCAACCAGATCCCAGCCTGTGCTGCCTCCTTCTCCGACCCAGACTGTCCCTCCCACCCAAATACCACCCATCCTCTGTGCCAAGGGACTCAGTGAGGCTCAGCCTGGCACCCATTTCCCAGCAGCTGGAGATGGACACAGAGCAGAACCTGCTGAAAGACCCCCACCCAGCATGAGCCCAGGGCCCCAGGCTGGGGATTCCCTCCTTACCTGTCTGAAGCAAACCAGCATTGCTGTCACTGATCTGATAAAACTTCTGTACGTCCAGCAGAACTCCTGTGGGCAGACGGACAGTGCTCAGGAAATGGGAAGTTGCCTGCCAGGCCTCTAAGGGCAGCTGCCCCTGCATTTGGGACAGGCCTGCAGCCGACCAGCACAGCACCGGTGTGGCACCCGGGCCCACTGTTCTCTTCCCCTCTCTCCCACACATGCACACAAACACATACACACACACACACACACACACAGATACAGGAGCCAGCACATCCCAAAGGCACAGATATACACACACATTCATGCACAAGCATGACACTTAGTCATGCAGGCACACAGACATGCAGATCCACACAGCTGCATGCAAACAGGCACACCCAGAGGCACCGAGACATCCACATACAGGAGCCTGCACTCACAGGCGTGTAAGCCCAGTCTCGTACACCCGGACATACGTACACTGAGATGTACACGTAAAGACACACGCACAGGCATGCATGCATTTGCACACGTGCAGGGCTGCCATTCACGTCACAGTCATAGTGACGGCAGCCGTTCACTTAGACTACAGTGTAAATGAAAGTCCCTGGGATTGTGCAGCCCTGCTCGTATACAAACTCCAGACATTCATAGACATACATATACCTGCATGAGCATGTGCATGCAAAGGCATATGTGCCCTGGCCTGCACACATGCACACACAAGCATGTTCTTCCAGGGGCATGGACACACAAACACGGAATGCCCATGAGAGCTTCAGAGGGTCCCACTTAGGTCCGACCTCGGCCCCTGAGGGTGGCAGGCTCTTGCTCTGAAGGCCCTCCGAGAGATCGCTAGGCCGAAATCCCCTCAGCCCCTTGGTGGTACTCCAGAGTCAGTCACGGTCCCAGGCACCTGCTCATCTGAGCTGTGAGGCTCTGGCCCTGTCATCACTTTGATTGAATTATGAGATGGCTGAGGGCCCTCAGTATCACTGTCCCCATTATACAGTTGGAGAAACAGAGGCTCCAGCCACCTATGGCTGTACAGCTGGAATTAGGGGAGCTGGGTCTACCCTCCCACCCAGAGTCACAAATGGAGCCCTGCAGAAACATCCCCACGATGGAGAAGAAAGCCCCACATCCACACCTGTGAGACCAGCCAGTGGGTGAAAAAGATGGAAGAAACAGAGAAGCAAAGTGAGAGGGTTTTTTTCCGATATTCACTTTGTACCCAGTTGCCACAATGTCCAGATACCAACTTGTATGTCTTTCCTTCCCTTTTAATACTTTTACTTACACGAATTAGACATATTCATTGGCAAGAGACAACACAGGTAAACAAAGAAAATGGCTAAGTAAAAATTCTCTATATTCGCACTCATTTGGGGGACTGGGACTCAGCCCCTTGTTTTGACTGCTCCTGGGCTCCTGTTTTTCTTGGCTGTGTTGGGTCTTCATTGCTGTGCACGGACTTTCTCTAGTTGCGGCAAGCGGGGGCTACTCTTCGTTGCGGTGCGCGGGCTTCTCATTGCGGTGGCTTCTCTTGTTGTGGAGCACAGGCTCTAGGCACGTGGGCTTCAGTAGTTCTGGCACTCGGGCTCAGTAGTTGTGGCTCATGGGCTCTAGAGCGCAGGCTCGCTAGTTGTGGCGCATGGGCTCAGTAGTTGTGGCTCGTGGGCTCTAGAGCGCAGGCTCGGTAGTTGTGGCGCACGGGCTTAGTTGCTCCGCGGCATGTAGGATCTTCCCGGACCAGGGCTGAAACCCGTGTCCCCCGCATTGGCAGGTGGATTCTTAACCACTGTGCCACCAGGGAAGTCCCAGCCTTGTTTTTATCTTTCCTCTGTCCCTCTGGCCTCCCAAAGACCTGCTTCACACCAGAGAATTCTAGTGGCTGACAATCACCTGCTCCAACCGTCCCCAGGCACTCTGTGGAGTTTCGCTTCTCCTGGCCTCCCTCAGCCCAATAACCACAGCCTTGCTACTCACACAGCCAGAGGAATTCCCATCAGGGAAAGTGCCTCAGGCCGGGAGGACTCAGGGACTGACAGCCCAGCCAGCGGCCTCCCAGGAAAGCAAGGATCCCAGCCTGCGGGGCTGAAAGAGCTCCACATGCCTGGTTGACCCCTCCTCTCCCCTTCATGCCCTCCACCCCCAGTCCAACTCATGCCTCCCCAGCTCCAGTCTAATCCTAGTGGTAGCCTCTGACTGACCTCCCCGTCTCCTCTTGCCTCCATCAGGGCCTCAACTCTGATTACAGTCTCCCCACTTGCTCCCCACGGCCTCAGCAGAAAGTGCAAGCTCCCAGCCTGGCCCCCAAGAAACCTATGATCCAGCCCCAAACACCCTTTTAGAATAAGTTGCCGCTTCCCCCAGCTCCTCTCCTGATCAGAGCATGCACTTTGGCCCCATGTGCTCTGGCTCATGCCGACCCCTCTCTCTGAACGCCCTTGCCTGACCCCATTCCCTGCTTTACCGATTTTTTCAGCCTTCAAGACCCAAACCATATGCCCCTCCTCTGTGAATTCTGTCGGAACCCTCAGTTTTTCATCCTGGGGCTGCCCAAATGATGCTCTCCCGAGTCTGTCCTGGATTAGAGCCACTTCTACGTGTGTCCTGTATGCCTCTGAGCTCCTTGAAGACAGACACGCCCACTGGGTCTGGTGCTATCTGCAACCCCAGGCCCATTCATTCCACAGCTGCGAGCTGGTAACTGCTGAATCCATACCCTGGGCTCGGAGGAGGGCCCCGCCTGCTGCAAGCACCTCCTCGGAGCTCCCCAGGCTCCTCTGTCCCTCTGCCCCATGAGGCTCATTCCTGAGTTCAGGAGCTACAAGGTTGACTTCCCCTCCCCTGGGTCCCCAAGGCCCACCAGAGGGTCCCCAAGGCCCATAGTGCTCAGTCGATCTTGAAGGAATCCGCGATCAAGAGAGAAAAGGCTGAATCTTGAATAAATGAATGGACAAATGAATAAGTGCATGAGTGAGTGACATGAAGACACAGCAGGTTGAGCCCTGGGGCCTACAGGAAGGAAGGCAGAATGTGCAAAGTTTGCACGCAGCCTGATGCCCCAGAAACAACCAGCCAGCTAGTTCTTGCTTGGGAGCAGGGCCAGGCCACCCTGTCCTCCACGACCTCACCCCGACCTTCCACCCAGAACCACCAGACATTTGCCCGAGGCCCAGTCCTCCCTGCTGTCCTCACCCACCCACCATTGTGCACCCACATCTGGGTGCATATACAGTTTGGGGCTGGATTGGGAACTCATTTGACCCTCCCCCATTTCAGGCCAGGCTGAAACCAGGCCGGGGGTAAGAATAGCAGGGATGTGCTGCACAAGAAGAAAGTCTGCTGGACAGAAGCCCACTGTGGATACACAGCACCAGCTGGTGGCAGGGCAGCCAGCAGGTAGATGGGCAAGTGCCGCCCAGGATGCCCGTCCCCTTCCTCACCTGCAATGATGAACCAGTTCATGTAGTTCAGGAGGTTGATGTAGCAGAGCACGGCAGCAGCCACATAAGCTCTCCAGCGGGGCAGGCTCCAGGGGGTGGGCGTGGATGGAGAGGGGCATGGACCCGAGCCCATGGCCCTTGAGTGCCCGCCTGGCCCCGGGGACCAGCCCTGAAGCCCCTTGGGCCCAGGTTCCCCGCACTCCGCGGACATGCCCCCAGCCTCGCCAGCCTGCAGCTCCCGTCCCGTGATGGGTGCCGGGGTAAAGACGCATCAGATCTGCACCAAGTCACTTCCTGTGGGCTCCCAGCCGCCCAACCTCAAAGCAGCTGCCCTAACCGCTCGGTATCTTACTGCAGGTCTCTACTGATCCCAGTGCAGCCTCGAAGGTGAGATTTCACCATCCGCAGCAGCCCCTGAGGCCTGCTGGGGGGAAGAGAGCTCCTGGCCTCACCACCCAGGGTGGCTGGTCCTTTTGACCTAGCCTGGGGCTATGGTAGCAGCCGTGAGAAAGAGAAGCTTTGCAGGACAGGAAATGAGACGAGTCTCCCAGAGTCCCACTCGCTGTGGGAAGGTCTGGCTGCCACACATGAGATGGGCTGTGAATGAGGGACTCGAACCCGGGTCAGATCAGGAAGGCTGGGTGTTGGCCAGGAGAGCGACACTGGACTGGACCGGAAGCGGAGGCTAACCTGCTCCTACGTAATGTCCTAACCGGAGAAACAAAGACAGCGAGGGGCGGCCGACAGGAAGGCAGCCTGTGGGCAAAACTCAACATTGGATGTGAAGTTTAGCGGGAGATTTTTGATGAGGGGAAAGATATTGGCATGCTCTTAAAGTGTCTCTTTACAGATTGTTTATTAGTAGCAGGTGGGGGGAAGGGTAACGATACAGGAGGAGAATCAGGCAACATCTTGACCAAAGGATTAAAATAGCATCACCAATGAGGGGCAGGATTCCCACCAGGAATGCATGACCCCAATCTAATCACGTGGAAACATCAGACAAACCCAAATGAGGGACACTATTTTTTTAATAGACTTTATTTTTTAGAGCGGTTTTAGGTTCACAGCAAAACTGAGCAAAAGGTTAGGATTTCCCATTTACCCCTCTTTACTCTTTACTCCCACTTGCCCCACACACGCATAGCCTCCCCTATTATCAGCACCCCACCCACCCGAGTGGGACATTTGCTTCAGTTGATGACCTTGACCCATCATTATCACTCAGAGTCCATAGTTTACGTTAGGGTTCATTCTTGGTGTGGTACCTTCTATGGGTTTGGACAAACGTACCGCATGTACTCACCATTATAGTGTCACAGAATAGCTTTATTGCCCCAAAATCCTCTGTGCTCTGCCTATTCATCCCTCCCTCCCCTCATCCTCTGACAACCACTGATATTTTTACTGTCTCCATAGTTTTGCCTTTTCCAGAATGTCATATAGTTGGAATCTTACACGATGTAGCCCTTTCAGATTGGCTTCTTTCTCTTAGTCATTTGCATTGAAGTTTCCTCCATGTTGTTTCACGGCTTGAGAGCTCATTTCTTCTTCTTCTTCTTTTTTTAAAAATTTATTTATTTAATTTATTTATTTTTGGCTACACTGGGTCTTCATTGCTGCACGCGGCTTTCTCTTGCTGCGACGAGCTGGGGCTACTCTTCGTTGTGGTGCGTGGGCTTCTCATTGTGGTGGCTTCTCTTGTTGCGGAGCACGGGCTCTAGGCGCAGGGGCTTCAGTAGTTGTGGCACGCGGGCTCAGTAGTTGTGGCTCACAGGCTCTAGAGCGCAGGCTCAGTAGTTGTGGTGCACGGGCTTAGTTGCTCCACAGCATGTGGGATCTTCCTGGACCAGGGCCCGAACCGTGTCCCCTGCATTGGCAGGTGGATTCTTAACCACTGTACAGCATTTTAAATGCATTATCTCATTTGATCTCCCAACACCTCTATACGGTAAATACTGTCATTTTCTCCATTTCTGGGATGAAACTGCGACTCAGAGGGGCTTAAGTGAACTGCCCACAGCCACGGCTGGTACGGGAAACCAGATCTACCTGCCAGCAGCTCTTAGTCCGGCCCCAGCTAACCAGCACTGCTTTATAGACACCATGTAGGGAGACAGCTCTAGCCCCTGGCTCTCCAGCCACGCAGTGTTTGAAAGAGGAGGAGGCCCTGTGTCTAAAGGTTGTGCCCCTGAGTTAGAAACTATCCCATCCCCCTGCACCTGCTCCGGCAGTGAGGTAACTAGGGCTCTGTGCCCTGAGGCCTATCCCTGCAGCTTCGGCAGAAATAAGCCCCCTTGGTCTTCTGGCAAGTGGACCTGTCCAAAAGAACCAGGACCTTGGGGGAGAGAGGGCTCTTCCTCCCTGGCCTTCTTTCCAGAAAGTTAGGGGAAGGGAGCAGATGTTCTCTACTTCCTCATGGAGAAACAGGTCCAGGAAGGCAGCCCGCCACTCCGTATTGATACATGTGTGGCAGAGCTGGCCTGGTCCCAGGGCTCCTGGGCACCCCTGTGCGGACCTCTGCGGGCTCAAGTTCAGTTGGGCATCACTCCCTTATGTTTTGTGCCTTCCGTCAGGAGCGCGTGTCTTGTTCGTGGTTGTGTCTCCAGAGCCTAACCCAGGGCCTGGCACAAAGTAGGTGCTTTAATTAACTGTTGGACTAAGAAATGAATGGGTTCCTCTAAGCTTCGAGTCTGCTCATCTGTAAAATGAAGACCGAGATGCTTGCACCACGAAGAGTCAGCCAGAGCTTTCCCGGCGTGGGCATCAGCCCAAAGGGCGAGTTTCCTTTCTCCTCTAGACTCTCATCTCTGTTCTGACCTCAAGCTCGGGGAGGGACCTGGGGACGAAAGATGTCCCTGGTGTGCGCCCCAGCTCACGGGCACCATGCTCCCAACTGCTTCCTTTTCAGATTCTGAAGAGCGCCTTGAGGCAAGGGAAGGGAGCAGGTCCTACCAGCCCAGGGCGCTGACGCGGGCGAGCAGGGCACCACCGGCTGCCCCTATGGCAGGTTCTCATTTCTTCTTAGTACTGCATAATATTCCATTGTCTGGATGGGCCGTGGTTTATCCATTCACCTCCTGAAGGGCATCTTGGATGCTTGCAAGTTTGGGCAATTATAAATAAAGCTGATAAAAAAACATCCATGTGCGAGTTTGTGTGTGGCCATAAGTTTTTAACTCCTTTGGGTAAATACCAAGAAGCACAATTGCTAGATCAGATGGTAAGAGTATAGAAGACTATGTTTTTTTAAAGAAACTGTATTATTCAAAATGTCAAGGTCACAAAAGACTAAGAAAGACTGAGGGATTGTTTCACATTAAAGGAGATGAAAGAGAGATGATAATTAAATGCAACATGGGATCCTGGACTGGGTCCTAAACTGGAGGAAGAAATGCATATTATTGGATCAATGGATAAAATTGGAATGTAGATGATAGACTAGGAAGAAATAGATCAGTGTTGAATTTACTGAAGTTGATGACTGCACTACGGTTATGTAAGTGAAATCCTTGCACTGAAGCATTTAGGGGTAAAGGGCCATCCTGTAAGCAACTTACATTCGAGTGGTTCAGGAAAAAAAAAAGAAAAAACAGATATAGCAAGAAAGCAAATGGGGCAAAATGTTAATAATAGATGAATTCGGGTAAAGATTGCTTGGGTTTCTTTGTACTATATTGTAATTTTTCTGTAAGTTGAAAGTTATTTCTAAATAAAAAGATAAACCACAAAATGACAAACAACTCAATTAAAAATGGGCAATGGAGCTTCCTTGGTGACACAGTGGTTAAGAATTCGCCCGCCAATTCAGGGGACAAGGGTTCGAGCCCTGGTCTGGGAAGATCCCACATGCAGTGGAGCAACTAAGCCTGTCAGCCACAACTACTGAGCTTGTATGCCACAACTACTGAAGCCCACGAGCCTAGAACCCGTGCTCCGCAACAAGAGAAGCCACTGCAATGAGAAGCCTGTGCACCACAACGAAGAGTAGTCCCCGCTCACTGCAACTAGAGAAAGCCCGCGTGCAGCAACAAAGACCCAATGCAGCCAAAAATAAAATAAATAAATAAAAATTTTTAAAAATCTACAAACAATAAATGCTAGAGAGGGTGTGGAGAAAAGGGTACCCTCTTACACTGTTGGTGGGAATGTAAACTAATAAACTAATACAGCCACTATGGAGAACAGTATAGAGGTTCCTTTAAAAACTAAAAGTAGAACTACAATATGACACAGCAATCCCACACTTAGGTAAATAAAACCATAATTCAAAAAGATGTACGCACCCGAATGTTCACTGCAGCACTATTTACAATATCCAGGACATGGAAGCAACCTAAATGTCCATCAACAGAGGAATAGATAAAGAAGATGTGGTACATATATACAATGGAATATTACTCAGCCATAAAAAGGAACGAAATTGTGTCATTTGCAGAGACGTGGATGGATCTACAGACTGTCATACAGAGTGAAGTCAGAAAGAGAAAAACAAATATCGTATATTAACACATATATGTGGAATCTAGAAAAATGGTATAGATGATCTTATTTGCAAAGCAGAAATAGAGACACAGACATAGAGAACAAACATATGGACACCAAAGGGGAAAGGTGCGGGGTGGGATGAATTGGGAGGTTGGGATTGACATATATACACTATTGATACTCTGTATAAAATAGATAACTAATGAGACCCTACTGTATAGCCCAGGGAACTCTACTCAGTGCTCTGTGGTGACCTACATGGGAAGGAAATCCAAAAAAGAGGGGCGATATTTATACGTATAGCTGATTCACTTTGCCGTACAGCAGAAACCTACACAGCAGTGTAAAGCAACTATACTCCAATTTAAAAAAATAAGGCGAATCATAGAATGCCACATGACCCAGCAATTCTACTCCTAAGCATATGCCCAAAAGAACTGAAAATAGAGGCTCAAAGAAACACTTTCACATGAATGTTCATAGCAGTGCTATTCACACTTGCCAAAAGGTGGAAACAAATGTCCATCAACTGACAAATCAGTAAACAACATGTGGTGTATACCTGCAATGGAATGTTAGTCATCCATAAAGAGGCATGAGGTCCTGACCCACGTACAACGTGGCTAAATTTCAAAAACACACTAAGTGAGAGAAGCCAGACACAAAAAATCACACAATATATGATTCCATTTACATGAAATACCCCAAATAGTTAAGTCTATAGAAATAGAAAACAGATTAGTGGTTGCCAGGGGCTGAGAGGAGGGAATGCTTCATAGGTACATAGGTCTCTCTCGCTTGGGGTGATGAAAATGTTTTGGGGACTTGATAGAGGTGATGGTTGCACAGTATAGTGAATGTAACAAATGCCACCGAATTGCATGCTTTAAAACGTTTAAAATTTTATGTTATGTGAATTTCACCTCAATTTTTTTTTTAAGTTAAAGCAAACAAACAAAAAACCAGTCTGGTGACATGGCAAGGAAACGAGCTTTGCCGTCTGACGAGCCTGGATTCGAATTCCGATTTTGCTTCTTCCTAGCTGTGTACCTTGGGCAAGTCCCCAGCCTCTCTGAGCTTCAATGATCTCATGTGTGATACAGAGAGAAGAATATGTGCTGGAGGGGTTAACTGTGAGGACGAACTGAGATAAGTACGCGTAACATTCCCGGCATAGAGCCTGGCACGTAGGAAGCATTCGGTGACAATTATTATTGTTATGACGATGATGGTGATGATGATGATGGTAGTGATTGGTCCTTGGCCTCTGCCATGCAGTCCAACCACAAACCCCATGTGGATGGTCTTTGTGAAACATAGGGAAGTTCAGAATCAGGCCTTTCAGCCTGAGCACGCGCAGGCAGGCTGGCATCATGGCTAAGATCCTAACCCGGAGCCAGACTCACTACTCACTGACCCTTTGATCTTAGGCCAATCAACCTCTCTGTGCCTCTATTATCCCATCTATAAAATGGGGATGGGACTTCCCTGGTGGCGCAGTGGTTCAGAATCCACCTGCCAACGCAGGGGACACCGGTTTCAGCCCGGGAAGATCCCACATGCCGCGGAGCAACTGAGCCTGCGCGCCACAACTACTGAGCCTGCGTGCCTTAGAGCCCGTGCTCTGCAACAAGAGAAGCCACAGCAATGAGAAGCCTGCGCACCGCAACGAAGAGTAGCCCCCGCTCACCACAACTAGAGAAAGCCCGCACGCAGCAACGAAGACCCAACACGGCCAAAAATAAGTAAGTAAATAAATTTATAAAATGGGGATAATGATAGTACATACCTTGTAGGGTTGTTGCAGCTTAAATGAGTTTGAAATGTGCCTAGAACTTTGCCTGGTGTTGAGGAAATGCTATGTCAGTGTTAAATTAAACAGGGTCTTCCCCGGCACACGTAGATGAGACTAGGGTCTCAGCCCTGCCCTCAGGGCCGAGGAGTGACGGGCAGAGCTACACCCTCAAGTAGGAGTGCATGAGTGAGAAACCAAGCCTGCAAGCACACACACACACTCACACTCATGCAAACTACACAAGAGCACTGCAGCTACTGAACACTGAGACAGAGCTGCCCCCCATCCAGAGGCAGCTGCCCCAGATACGCTGGTCATGGTCACCCCTTTCCAG